GACCAACATTAAACTTCCAATCGCATTTGCATAAGGAACTTTAGCCATGCTTCGTCTTTCTTCTTCCATCTTCGGACTTTGTATTGAAGACAATTTGAAGTAAGGCGCTAGGGGTGTCTTCATTTGCTTTGCATCTTTCATGCCAAATTTTTCAAGTACCCTTTTTATGTAACCCTTTGGAGATAATGACAAAATTCCATTTTGTCTATCCATTTCAATTTCAATCCCAAGGATTTGGATTGCTGGCCCGAGATCCTTCAAATCAAATCTTTTGTTCAAAGAAGTCTTGAGCTCATCAATATTTGCTTTATCTTTGCACATCAAAAGCATGTCATCCACATATAAGACTAAAATCAAGCATGTACCATCATAAAAAAACTTTAAATATATATAATGATCATACTTACTACTTGTGTACCGAAGGCTCATCATGAACATATTAAATGTTCTATACCATTTGTCTTGATGCTTGCTTGTGCTCAAACAAGGACTTCTTCAATTTGCACACAAGTCCTTCTTTGCTCTTCTCTATGAAGCCTTCTGGTTGTTGCATGTATACTTTATCTTCAAGTTATCCATGTAGAAAAGCCGTATTCACATTCATTTGCTTAAGCTCTAAATCATGCATAACAACTAAACTAAGCATCAAGCGAATTGAGACCAACTTGACAACCGATGCAAAAATTTCATCAAAGTCAATCATTTTCTTTTGCGAAAAACCTTTTGCCACTAATCTTGCCATATATCTCTAAAGCTTGCCATCAAGCCCCTTCTTTATCTTGAACACCCATTTAGAACCAACGGCCTTTCTACCTTTTGGTAGCTCCATCAAATCTCAAGTCTTGTTTCTGTGAAGGACCAAGATCAATTCTTTCATAGCTATTTTCCAATGCTCGGTACCATTGCTATCAATGGTTTCACAGACTGATGTTGGCTCTTCATTTTTTGTTATCAAAGTATGCAAAGTATTTGGATCCACATAACTTTATACCACCTGGGTGCACGAGTTTCTCTAGGAGAGCGCCTATGTGCTAAAGGAACACCTTCTTCATGATGGCCTTGTAGTTCTCCATGCTTTTCACTATGATCAATGAGTATGTTCTCATAAGGCACAATTGCATTTGGTGGAAGTGTTTTAGGGTTGTCTTGAAATTCTTGGCTCTCTTGTTGTACTTCTTAACCATTGTCATTTATCATCATTCTTTTGCCAGTACCTTGGATTCATCAAAATGCACATCACGGCTACTGATTAATTTTCGAGTAATTGGATCCCATAACCAATACCTCTTAACACCCTTGCTATAACTCACAAAGATGCATTTCTTTGACCTTGGATCCAATTTGTTCATTTGGCAACTTGGAATAAGTGCATAAGCATCATAACCAATTTTTTTTAAATCAGTGTACTCACTTGGAGTTCCATACCATACCTCATTAGGAGTTTTGCTTCCTAATGCTACCGAAGGTGATAAGTTGATAAGATCACAAGACATTGATACAGCTTCCGCCCATAATTCTTGTTCTCGGCCGGATTGGTTAACATACACCTCGCACGCTCTATAAAGTGTGATTCATCCTCTCTGTGACATTATTTTGTTGAGGATTGTAGACATCTATGTAATGCCTAGTAATTTCCTCGGCCTCGTAAAAATTTTCAAACTCATTTGATACAAAATATCCACCATTATCGGTCCAAAGAACTTTGATGCGGTGTCCCGTAGATTTTCAACTTCAGTTTTAAAATACTCGAATGCACAAAACACATCAGTTTTGATCCATACTTTTCTTGAGAAGTCATTAACATATGAAGCAAAATATAATGCACCTCCATAAGATGTAGTTGGTGAAGGGCCCCATATATCTGAGTGAATGTAATCAAGTTTGCACTTGCTTGTATGCTTTCCAGCCTTGAAAGGTGTTTATGTTGTTTCCCATAGACACAATGCTCACAAAATTCGGATCCATCAATTTTAAGTGTAGGAATAAAATTTATCTTCATCAAGACCTTCATACCCTTATCACTCATATGCCGCAATCTTCTATGCCATAGACGAAATGGAGCGTCCTCACCTTCGACCACGGAATTCACTTCAACATCTATTATTGTGCTTCCCAATAACCTGTATAAGCTCCCAACTAGGACTCATTTCATCACAATTAGAGCCCTTTTTGATACTTTAATTACTCTACATTGACTGGTGAACTTATAACCCGTCAAATCTAGAGAAGAGAGGGAAATTAAACTCTTTTTTAGTTCCAGCACATGCCTAACATCCTTAATTGTCCGAATAGTCCCCACAAACATCCTTAGGCGAATCGAACCCATTCCAACCACCATGCTAGTGGAATTATTAACCATGGATACCGATCCTCCTTCACATAACTCATATGAGTCAAACCATGATCTATGGGGGTACATGTGATGGGCGGCTTCACTATCAAGTATCCAATTTTGATAGAATATTGAATTATGTGCCACCATTAATACTTCATCTTCAATAAACCTGGATGTAGACTCTTCTACTTAATTTACTGCATTCTGGATTCACTTAGCTTTTCACCTCCCGCATTAGGAGCTTTGGAAAAATTCACTTCATTTCTTTTAAAACAATTATTCCTTATATGATCGGGCTTCCTACAATGCCAACACATATTCTTGTTATTGGGCCCTCTAGATTTTGATCAAAATCTTGAATTACTTCTTGAATGATTTCACAATGAATCACACCGTTCATTCGATCGACCTCTTGCCACAAGAGCTTGAGTCTTTGATTCCACCAAACTTCCCAAAGATGCCTTCTTTCGAAGTTCATTGGCAAGTAAGGCACTACACACCGAGCCCAAATCAAGAGAATCCTCTTTATTACAACTCAATGTAGTAATAAGGTTATCATATGATTCCGGCAATGACCAAAATAAGGTGACCGCCTTATCTTCATCGTCCATTCTCGCACCAATACTCTCAAGTTGACAAATGATGTTATTAAACTCATTCAAGTGTTCCGACACATTTGCACCTTCTTTCATTATCAAGGAATACAATTTTGTTTTTAAGAAAATTTGATTTGTGACAGATTTTGTTTGATACAAACTTTCCAATTTTTCCCACAAATCTTTTGCCGTCTTTTTGCCAACAATATTAAACAAACATCATTCGCTAACACACAAGTGAATAGTGGCATGTGCCTTCATATCGAGTTCATCCCAATTATCATCAGTCATATTTATCGGTTTCTTATCTTTTCCAAGTAATGCTTTGTGTTGTCCTTAATGTACCAATAAATCTTACATCTTTAATTTCCAAATTTCAAAATTATCTTTCCCATTAAACTTATCTGCCTCACACTTGTGAGATGCCATTTTTCAAAAAATATTACACTAATTCCTTAAGCTTTGATACCACTTGTTGTAAAATCAGAATAATCCAATCACCAATTTTGAGCAAATCGAGATATCTCAAATCCTACTAGATGTAGTGAGCACTACACCACAATGATTTAAACACTCAAATACCATGCCTAAGATGTAATAACAAGTGCAATATAATTGGAAAAAATATAAAAATAATAAAATAAGCAATATGATAAATCTTCAAAGTACAATACAAATGAAGATAGAGAAGGACACGTACGTATACATGGTTCACCCAAGATAAGCTACGTCCATGGGTAAGAGGAAAACTTACAAGATTGGGGTTACGTAGAGTTACTTCATACAAGCTTAAGGAAAACTCAAATAAAAGAACTTCTTATCACAAAACCACCTACAATCGATATTTTTCTTCGATTCACTGATGCCGCGAAAAAATGCCGACAAAATGACTCAACATGAACCCAAATGATGGTACTAGGGTTTTGTAGCAAACACCCCCAAAATTTCTCCCCCAACCTTCTCTTAATGTTTTCACCATTTTCTTTCTTTCTTTTTTATTTTTTGTTTTTACGCCTACCCATACATCACTTTCTTACTCATCCGTGCATCTCTCTTTATAAAACTCCTTTTAAAAGCCTCCACTCAAAAGATATATTTTGGTGACGAAAATGCCCTTTAACAAGAGGGAGAATACCATAGGAGTGGTGATTTGGCATCACGTCTCAACTGTCCCTTCCTGTTTTTCCAAGTAGATTAAGAGTTAGCTTTTTCAAAGTGTTAGTGGGGTTGTGTTAATGACAGGGTAATGTAAGTGAGGTGGTGTTAATGGCGGGAATAGAAACCACAGCGAGGTTTGACCAGTGTTCGCAAAATCAGCCGATTAGATCGGAATCGGCTAGCGACCAGTTCCGATTTTGCTCGGTATTGGTGGTCACCTTGTATTTTAAACTTTAAATAAAATAATACTTTATATTTATATCAAATATGTTGGAATAGCATATTGGTAAGTTTTGACGATGGTTTCCGATAAGAATCGGGGTTGTTTTCTTAACCATATGTTGTTTTCTTTTACAAAAGCCATATGCGTTGTTTTGGTTAAAAAATCATATGACATTTATTTATTGATGACCATTAACTACTTAAATGATAAAAACAAGGGTTTATATTATATATAACATAATTTTTTTTATTTATTTTTTTTTAGGAAAAAGAGATCATTTTCCTTTTAAAAAAAGATAAAAAATATCATTTTTTTTTAAAAAAGATTATTTTTTAAAAAAATAGTTGGTCAAGTCGATTTTTTTAACACTATTTTTATATTCTTTACATTGCAGTAAAGATTAAAAAATATTTTGGTCATTGATACTCACTTTTATATTTTCTTATCTTTTTAGAAATTTTAAAAAATATCCTTAGGCACAAATCGACTTGTTAAGATCTATTTTTTTCATTAATTTTCAACTTCTTTTGAGTGTGTTTTGTTTTAATCACAATCTTTATATGTTTTGAATATTTTAGTGGATTTTTTTTGTATTTTTTTTTATTTTTTTAATATTTTTTTAATCGTTTCATACTTGTCCGGTTAGAGCGGTTGAATCGGCCAATTTATCTATTAAACCGGTTAAATTGCTTGCAGGTCCATGTCCTGTTAAGTATTCGATTTTACGAACACTGGGTCTGACCACCGCGACCCAGGCCCTTCCCATAAAGTCAAAAGATTGTCCTATATAAAACATTATCATTCTCTAAGCTGCAATGTGTTTAGATTATATATAGCAAAACTGATGGATCAAACTCAACCCATAGCTAAGAACCAGAGAGGAAGGCCTGTTCAAACTTCTACTGAAATGATAATCACAGTGAAGCAATCGAGCTTGGTTAGACCCAATGCTGAGACTCCAGTGCTTGAGATGTGGATATCCAACGCAGACCTTGTGGTTCCCAGGATGCACGTTCCTCTTCTCTATTTTTTCCGGTCGAACGGCGCCCCCAACTTCTTCGAATCTGATCTTTTGAAAGAGTCATTGAGTCGAGCTTTGGTGTCATTTTACCCGCTTGCAGGCCGATTGAAGCGCGACCGGAGGGGCCGCATCGAGATCGACTGTAACGCGGAGGGGGCGCTATTTGTGGAGGCCTACAGCGACACGGCCATCGACGACTTCGGCGACTTCGCGCCAACCATGGAGCTCAAGCGGCTGGCCCCCAAGGTCGATTACACAGAGGACATCTCTTCTTTTCCCTTGGTATTGATTCAGGTAATATCCTCTTCTTTTCCATTCCTCTTGATTCGTGCAAGTATTTTTGAAAGTCGTTATGACCACACCTTTAAACGATTTATCTTATGGGGGCCCGGGGGGGAAGGACTTGGAAAATTATCAAAGATACTTAATTTTTGGATGATAAATCTTACGGGGGCTTGGAAAATTATCAAAGATACTTAATTATTGGATGATAAACCTGTAAAATCTCTGCTGCAAATCCCTTTTCATGGCAACATAATGCCTTTGGAGCCCTTTATCTGCACTAAATTTCATCGATGTTACGGCCGAGGTCGGTTTTTGTGAGATTAATAAATTTCTTTTTTTTTTAAAAGAACGACTTTTCGGAATGTTCAAAAATGGATGTGGGTTTGTTTCTCGCCATCACCAACATGGAAAACCTAGGGGTGGTCTCACATTGTTTGGCGTGGGCGCGGTCCCACATAAAGGTATTCCTTATTTTAATGGTTATTCGGGGTCGTTTTCAACTTCGTCATTGATGGGGTGGCGCGTGTGGTCTATAATTTGGGTCTGGTTTGCCCTAATTAAGGCGCACCTTCAAATAGTATTGAAACATATATTTGTTTCCATTACTCTAAATCCTTGCGATAGCTTGAAAATTTGTTTTTATTTATAAATAAAATTTAAATTTAAAAAAGATTGTAGATCGAGGTAATTTTTGAATATTGAAATATTTGAAAATTAATGATCCGAAAATGTATTATAAGATGCACTATTTTCATCACTTGAAATCCATTTTTTCTCATGTCTATACTATGTCTTGAGATCATCAATTTGAGGTTTTTTGAGCATCAAAGCAACTTCTTTTATTGAATTTTTGTGGTGAGCCTTAATTTTATTAAACCTTTTCCCTATAATTTTATTCGCAATATTATAACTATAATATTTTTTAAAAGTTCACATTTTGGTGAGTTCCCCTGATTTTCAAAGGTTGAAAGGCCGGCGATCTATTATGACTTTGGGGCTGAAGTCTACTTTTGAATAGAGGCTATGGTGAGTTATTTTTCAGATTAAAAAACAATATATTTATTTTTTAATTTTTAAATTTATGATGATCGTGGCTGGAAGATACAGGCATCCAAAACCCATGTCCAAACAGCGAGCCCACTACAACCATCCTGATCCACGTCGTAATCATATAGACAAAACCGGCGTGATCCATGTGGTAATTTATTAATGATATACGTAATTTTTTTTTTTGTTGACAATATTACAAAATTTTATGGGTGCAGTTTGTATAGAGCCTAGGCTCTCTGAACAATTAAATTAGAGCCTATCTTCAAACAGTGTCGAGAAATATGATTTTATTATTGAAAATCTTTACAATAGCCTTAAAATATATTTTCATATTCATTTATAAAGTTTAAAGCTTCAAAACTAGTATAGATTGAAAGATCTATGAAAATTTGAAATTTATACTATTTTCAAAACTTGAAATCTTCTAGTGAAATTTTTGGAGGAGGCTCAAATTTGATTGTTTAGAGCCTTGGATCTATATAAACTTTTTCCAAATTTTATTACTTATGAAAAGATTACAATTTGCTCGAATAGACAAGAACTCATCATCAACTGTTGTTTCAGCCAAAGACACCCCGAACTTTGCCAAACCATCGGACATGTAATTCACCTCATCATGATTAAAAGAACAAACCATCCACCATGTCATTCACCTCATCATGATTAAAAGAAATTGTAGAACCGCGGCACAAATCCACTATCTCAGCCCAAAAAGGATAAAACGTCCATGGTGGTTTAGATACCTTATTGCACAAATTGATGACATTTTGTGAATCTCCTTTCACTACTATCGCATTGCCTACAAATTTTTCTTTGATACATCTCAAACCTCGTAGGGTGGTCCGAATCTCTGCCTGATTTGAAGTTGTTACCCCGCAAGGCCCCCGCATGAAAATAGTAACACCACTTTACTGGAATATCTCATGAGACCACCAAAGCTAATTGGACTTGGGTTACCAAAAAAACTACCATCAAAATTTAGGTTTAGGCATCTTTCACTAGGAGGATGCCGTCTTCCCTTACCTTTGAGCTTCCAATTATTACTATTTATAACACTTTACAAATTCATCCATATATCTACTTTTTCAATACCTCTACCTTCATTTGAATCTAAAACAAATTCCAATGATATTGTAATCATCCCAACAATGGGCTGGGTGATGGATGGAGTGAGTTCTAAATTACAATAAAGGGTCCAAGTAATTGATTAGAATGGTTAAATAACATTTTCGACGTTGTTACGAATCCTATTCTAACTAATATTTTCTTTTCAACCATTAGTGTTAATTATCTTAATGTCATCATGATATGGGTCGTATCATGTTCCGTGACTCGCCCAAGCTGGATTTGGGCGAGTTACCGGGACTCACCATATAGGCGGCGCCGAGTAGGGTTGAGTTTCACGGCAACTTACCCCACCCTTAATAAGGAGGGAAAAAAAAAATACAAATATAAAAATATAAAAAGATGGGAGAACATCACAATATTACTTACAATTGGTTTTTTTTGATGATTCGGTAGTTTTTAAGGTATCTAGAAATTTTTTTTTTTTTTCAAATTTTTTTCAAAAATTTATCTTTTGTAGAGTTTTTTTATCTTTAGGACTTCAATGATTTCTACAACTCTTTTATGTACTTTCGTTCTTTTAGCAATTTTGAATTTCGTCTTTTTTTTCTTTTTTTTTAACTTTTTTAAACCAAAAATAGAGCGTGAAATCGAATAGCGCATTAGTATTTACGTTCATATATTTGAGAATCTAGTTACCATTTGAGTACCACATGTCCATTTTAGAATCTAAATTGTAGAAAGTAATTACTGATCATAAGAGCTTCGGCTCTACACAAACCTCACCCATTAAGAAAAAAGAAAAAAAAAGAAAGAAAATTGAACGGAAACCGAGCGATTCGACCGACGTAAATAGACAAGTTTTCATTTAAATCATAAAAAAACAGAAAAGGTTTCATTTAAATCATAAAAAATAGTCGGTGGAGTCATTTTTGTCCCAATTAGTAGTAATTAATTGAAGTAGGACGCGGATGCGTTTCAGTTACGTATCAAAACAGCTGGCGTCGTAACGGGTGCTTCGGTGTAAAGCAATAAATATTCTCCTGGTCAATAAAACGCGTGTTGGTACAATCAAATTACAGCCCACCCTCTCACCCACCTCTCGAGAAATATAGTTTCAAAATTATAAATTTATGTGATAGCTTCAAAATATATTTTTATTTTTAATTATAAAATTTAAAATATATTATAAAATATATCTATAAAAATTTGAAAATTCAAAAAATTAAAGGCCTAAAAATACGTTACAATATGTATTATTTTCGAACCTTAAAATCTATTTTTTTTCTTATGATATCTTGATTTTTAGATGATCAATTTAATGATATTTAAGGATTCCAGTGAAATTTTTGAGATTGGCTCTAATTTGATTGTTTAGATCCGGTTCTATATAAACTTTTCCAGAAAACCCCTTTTCCAGAAGTAGTGCAGAGATGTTTTGGCTTGGCTCATGGATGCGGTAAGGGTCATGAGTCTTGTCTTATGTATTTAATAAGGGAAGGGATATCTATGAGTCTGCCGACCCATATTGTACATATGCAGCTCCCTCTCAAATTATTTTAGGGATGGATTTTTAATTTAACATTTTAAGGATTTATGATCTTGGTTACGATGATCATGAATAAAGAAAAACGGTTTTTTTTTTTTTAACATTTAAAATATAAATTTATTTTAGCCCCTTTTTTACAATGTGCATCTTAACGATGGACCAACTTTTCCGATAATAAGTGGGAGTCTATAAAACTTGTGTACTTCCCCTTATCCAACCCTCTATTTTGAATGGAGGGCTAAGATTGCTCCAATTACAATATCATATCTCTATACTGTTTTATTTTTGATATTTTTTATATAAATTATTTTTAGACCAAATTTTGAGTGTCCAATCCTCTATTAAACTCTCTCTTGTAAAAAATATTAAAATAATATTCTCAATAAAATAAAATAACCAAAATACCCCTGAAATATTTAAGGGGTATTTTGGTCATTATATTTTATAAAAAAATTATTTTTAATATTTTTTATAGGTGCACTCCAATGAGAAGATGCCACATACCAAATTTTATATTCATACAATTTGTATAAAAATATTAAAAATAAAATACTATGAGGCGTTGGATCTAAAATCAAATGGTGAATGGTTCACTTGATTAAAATTGGATGGTTGGATAGTAGGGAAAGCATATATCTTCCATGTTGTAGGGAAGTATGGAAAACTTTCCATATATATATATATATATATATATATATATACACACACACACACACGGGAAGGATAAAGCTACCAAAAGGTGGCACCTTATCAATAAATAGTAATATAGGTGGAATCTTAGCCATCAAATTTTTATCGAGCGCATCAAAATATATGTCACTATTTGAATTTTAATCTTTTTTCTAAAAATCAGATCAAGATGGAATTTTGAGTGTATATACGTGCAACAACATGTACTATATACAAATATACTTTAAAGAATTTAAAATGACCAAATCACCTCCTTATTTTAAGGGCTATTTTGGTTATTTTAGAAAATATTTGTTTTATATTTTTTTTTGATGCGTCGTATTTATTAATATACACGTCCAAAATTCATCATAAACCTATTTCTAAAAAAAGTATTAAAATTCAGATAGTGATATGTATTTGAACCAACCAATAAAGATTTGACGGTTTGGATTTCATCTATATTACTATTCATTATAGTTGCCAAACTATTGGTAGCTTTTTTCATATAGGAAATGTTTTATGAGTAGCACCTCACCTCAAAACTCAAAAATTGTAGTTTTAGTATTGGATAACCTTCAAATTGACAATCATAATTGTAGAAACATTAGGATTTCAAGTCCTAAATATAGTGTATGTTGTAACACATTATCTAACCGTTCATTTTTCCCTAAAAATAAGTATTCATGGATTCGTAAGATCTATACCACTTTTTGGCCTTCAAATTTCATAGTTGGTGTTGGAATTTTTTTAGAACCATAGTGGAAATTTCCGATGCCTAAAGTGCTTTCCGGATGGGGATTCGAGATGAGGCTTTATTTTATTTTCATAAAGCCTAGACCCTATAAAATTTATTTTATTTTTAGAATTTAAAAATAATCATCTATACTTTATAGTAAAAAATTTATATAAAGTGGCAACTTTAAACTATATATAAAAAAAAGAACCCCTTAAAATACCATCTTAAAATGTTGTTTTGACAGTGAAAAACTCTCTAAGTGATCACCTCGATCTTCAGATGTATGGATAAAAAAAAAAAAAACCGATTTTACACCTTGTTATCATTATTTAGACTATACGTTTGGAATATTTTCATGTGTTTATAGATCCATTCAATTTATACCGCAGTTTGAGTTTTAAATTTTATAAATAGATGTGAAGCAGTTTTTCATGTTATCATTGAAAATTTCGACACCAAAATGACATATTATTTCGAAGAGCTTTGGAGGTGCATCTTAATTGGATTGTTTAAAATTTTGACACTATACAAACCACACCCTATATTATATAACCCAGTATTATATAAATAAAGAAAAGTGATTTGTCCATTAGGGGAAGCAATCCTACATTTGTGTCCCATGCACAAAACATCCATCTTTTGGATGGATGCAAATGGGTGATCACACAAAAAACCCCAAAAAACTAAGGTTCTAAAATAGTCTCTAAAAATTTATTAGTTTTAAATTTAAAATTTATTACTTTTAAATTTAAAATTTATTTATTTTTATATAACAATATTCTCCATGATAGAGATTGCATACTCCAAAACTATTTGGTCCAAAATCTATCTCAATAATAGATATGGAGACAGGATGCATATTTACATTTGAGTTGGCCACCTCATATCTACACTCATTTATGATTTTTGTGAGTTATTTAAATTTTATTTTAATATATCAACTTAAGTTTAAGATTTGAATATCCGTACTTCTCACCATCATACAGTATTAAAATAGAATTTAATAATATAAAATAACCAAAATATTTTTATAAAATTTATGGTTATTTTAATTTTTTATTTCACTTTTTATTTTTATTTTTTATTTTTTTTTTATGTTTTTTACATGTAGTTGTTGGTGAGAAAAATGAATGCCCCAAATTTAAGCTTTATTTCATGTATAAAAAGTAAAATTTTTAAAAATACACCATGCAATCCCCAAAATTTGGGCTTGGATGTAAGCTATAAAATACATGATTCTATCTGATAAAAAATAATTTTTAAAAAACTTTCATACACACACATGCACAAATGCATAGGCTTTTGAAGAAAATAAATGTCTTAGTTGTGAGTTTGGATGTCAATGTTCAAGGACTCGGCCAAGTAACTTAGCCTGGCCTACGGCCAAGATGAGCTCTAGGGGCTACTCGCTCATGTTAAAAATTATGGAAAACTCATAAATTTTGTTAAAAGGTCTTGAATATAATATTTAGAACTGTATTTCTATATGATTTCTATGGGTTTTATGATGATTTGAGGACTTTTCTTACTACATGCTCTAATTTTTTATCATTTATTATTTATTTTTTTTGAAATATTTCAAGATATAAATCAAAAGTTTAATAACACATTTTCATATATTTTTTTGGTCTTTTGCATACTTTTAATGATTCATTTTAACATGCTTTATTTTTGGTACTTTTTTGTCTCACGTAGGATTTTGTACTTGGCCAAGTTACTCCGCCCAGACTGTGGGGAGTCGGAGTCCTAAACTGAGTTTGAAAACATTGTTAGTCGAAATAAGGTGAAAATCTATAAAAGATTGCTTCAATAATCAACACTTTTATTCCCTGTATTCATGGTCTTCTCTCTCCCTGTTGCCTCAAGACTTCCTCTCTTTTACTCTCTCTTTCAAGATTTAAATTTTAATTATATCAATGAGTGATGCTTTGATCAATTGCTCTAACATGTTTTAGGTTTAAAAAAAACCTAAAAACTGCCCCTTAGTATAAAAAAGACAAAAAAAAATGCCCCTACCGAATGTGTTTTCCGCCTTTGGACGGGACGCGGTCGAACCTTGGGCAGCCACTTAGGTAGGTTCTTGGGCACCTAAGCCATGGATTTCCATCTTTTTCTGGTACCTAGGACCTAGGCCCTTGGATCGCCTGAACGTTGGGCGGTTTGCTTTTTGAAACACTACTATAAAATGTGGCTCATAGTATATTTGCTCATTATCCTCCCACAGAGAGAATGATAGGATTGTAGGTGCACATTGTAAAGACTATACATTCAATCGATTTCAATTCTCAAGTTTTTGAGTTAAGCCAATTTGCCTGAAACTCGATTTTAATGGTGTAAATTGCAGGTGACCTTTTTCAAGTGCGGCGGGGTGTCATTGTGCGTGAGTGTCCAGCGCCATGTAGTTGATGGTGCATCAACCAACCACTTCATCAACACATGGTCTGATATAACCCGAGGCGTCGGCGTAATCAGACCCCCCTTCATCGATCGCACTCTCCTCCGTGCTAGGGTCCCCCCAAACCCGGCCTTTCCTCACGTTGAATTCCAAGAGGCCCCAACCATGAAAACCCGAATTGCTGAAGCCCATGTCTCGCCAGTCGTGGCCATTTTCGACATCACTCCTACTTGGCTCGATCGTCTCAAGAGAAAAGCCCAAGAAGATGGCGGTACTGCCTCCTATACCACTTATGAGGTGCTTGCAGGCCACGTTTGGCGTTGTGTTTGTCAAGCCAGAAACCTCCAGTCCGACCAACCCACGAAAATGTATATAGCCGCAAATTGTCGCTCCCGTCTCCAGCCTCCACTTCCCCCTGAATACTTTGGCAATGCTGTTTTTGCCGCCGCCCCCCTCGTTATGTCTGGCGACCTCATGTCCAAGCCATTGAAATTTGCAGCTGAAAAGATACATGAGGCTATTGTGAGGATGGACAATGAGTACCTGCGATCCGCACTGGACTACCTTGAGTTGTTGCCGGACCCGGATGCCGTGAAACGGGGGGCCCACACTTTTGAGTGCCCCAATATTGGGGTAATTAGTTGGGCAAAGCAACCGAGTTATGAGGCAGATTTTGGGTGGGGGAGGCCTGTGTTTATGGGGCCTGCAGGCATGGCCCATGAGGGGCAGGCCTTTGTGTTGCGTAGCCCAAAGGGAGACTCTTATCTCTGCCTCGCCATCTCGTTACATGAGGACTGTATGCGTCGCTTCCGACAGTACTTTTACGACTTACAGTCTTCTCTCTGATAATTTTTGTGTTATTATGCTATGTACATCAGGCTTTTTGATATGTTTGACGGACTTAAGAGTGGAGTACGATTCATCTTTTCATTGAAGATGTTCAATTGATCATCCCAAAGAGAGAGTAAAGGCGGAATGCTCTACTCGATCGAGAACAGGGCTCTGAGGTGCTCAAGAAGCGAGATACCTAACATACTTTTAGAAGTGGCAAAGTTTCAAACCATGATTTACAGTGCCATGAAGGTCTTCACTCCTAACCAACAGTTATACAAGACGAATCTCTAGAGGAAATATACACAATGATACCATTTTTTTTTTTTGATATAAAGAGGTTAACAATCATCATTGATTGTTAGATTTGAAATCGGGTGGTTGAGTATGTATTATTATTTTTGAAAGTCCAAAATAAATTTTTTCGAAAATTGCAATACTCTTTTATATATTGAATTTTACATCCAATGGTTACAAATAATTTTGACCTTTCTGTACTAAAACTAAATGGTCTCATTGTATCCAGCCCCGTATCTAAATGATAGAAATTAAAATCAAGGTTCGAAATGGATTGTTTCTTTTTGGGGTAAAAGAGAGGATCATTGGAATCATAACTTCAACATTGAAATTAGGAAACAAGGGTATAGTTTTCTTCTAAATTTGCATTGTACTCATCTTTTTCTTTCTTGATTATTGGGTAGTGCTAGCATTTAACAACGAAAAACAGATTGTAGGTCCACACTTGTTCGCAATTTAGGTTCCGTGCTCCTCATTTCTCTTGCACCATCAAAATGAACATCAGCTTACAATTGCTGGAGTGATATAAGTTCAGAAATTCAATGAAATCAATGGATTAATACTTCAAATATGAATCCTTAAAAGTTTTGAATTAATTCTGAAGTTAAAGTTTGGGGGCATCGGTCAAGGCATATCTTGGTGTTAGGGTTAAGCCAACTCCGATTGATGTCCAATTTATATGATTTTTGGATTAAATACATATAAGTTCTCATGAAATATATTTGCAAGGACACACCTCATCATGATATTACATGATGACGTTTTCTTTATGCTTTGTATATCAAACACTTTATCCTTGCCCGCCGACAGATTCAAAACAGCACCGCATCGCACTGCATCAAACTACTCCTATATCATGTGGAGAGGCATATCTGGGCCATAAAAGTATATATATATCCCGGAGTCTTTCCTCGAATTGAGATGTCTTGATGGTCTCCTATTATTAATTGTTAGTCACGATGAACATGTGTGACCGACGATGGATTCGGAAGTGCATCACTATGCATCATATTCCTCCGATATCATGTGGAGAGGCATATAGGGGCATTAGGAGTATATATATCCTAGAATTTGCCTTACACTGAGATGGTTTGATATCTTCTATCATCAATCGTTAGTCAAGATGCACATACTTGGCCGACATCAGATTGAAAAGCGTGTCGTATCACATCAAATTCCTCTAATATCATGTGGAGAGGCGTATATGAGCCTTAAGAGTATATGTATCATATAATTTGTTTCTTATTGAGATTGTTTGATACCTCCCACTATCATTGGTCGTACGTCAGGACCTATATAGATTGACTGATGAACATGACTTCTAAATGTATATTGGAGCCTTCATATGATGAGTCGTGGATATATTATATTCTTTATATTACATCAAGGGTATATCTTTGCAAATATTTTCAAGAATCATGCTCATTGAGCTTGCATATCTTATCTATTGTATGTTAAGACATTTATCTGGCAACAGTTCAAACAGTTGTCTCATAAGTATACCTTCAATTCATCGGGCACGTTTTAAGTGTACTTTGTTTTGCATGATGACTAAAAACACACCCAACACCCACATAGAACCATAGTTAAAAGTTCAGCTCTCCAAGTAAGAAGTCCTTGGACCGTCATTTAAAAATTGTGGACCACCAGGTCTACAGGACCCATAGCACCCTGAATAGTCAAGGGCTTAGATTAGGGACAATCCTCCAAAATAGAGGGATTAGTCTTATGTCCGGTAGGCGTGATCAAGGTAAATGAAATGTCCTTACTCATGAAACCCTTGGATCAGCCTACCAGAGTTGACCATTGTGGTCAATTAGCTTGCCATCGTTCTAACCCTAATAACCAGCTGGTCAAAAGGCAAGTGAGTCAAGGCTCACATAAGTCCAGGGGTAGCTCCTTTATCCAACCAAACACCAATAGGAGTCACGGTCATGGACTTGCGTGTCAACTCTAAGAAATCCCTAAAGCGCAAGCATTCCTTTAAGTCATAGCCAAACAAATATACACTATACAACCTAGTTACCATAGGCAGGGTAGATAAGAAGTTCAAACCATTAGTAACTTTGAGACAGTCAACTAAAACGGGGTTAACCTAGAGAGTCAAACACGAACTAGTTAACCAATTCAAGAACCACTTTCTAAGAATCGAGCACTTAGCTAGGAATGCAGTTCTAGTCATCATCATTTGAGTCTAGACTTACCTCTAGGGCTTATGCCATCTAGTAATGGTCATGAGCTTCGTACCCTATTCCATTCTTAACACTTAAAGAGATACAAGTCTAGCTCTAGTCCACCACATGCTGAGAGTAGACCACCAAGTTAATGGTCCAGCTATGATCGTCAGCCTTCATGCCATGGACATCTAGACCCAGCTAACCAAGGTCAATCCTAAAAATCTATCACCAGAGTAGCCTAGGGGTTCCTTCCCAATCGTCAATTAGTGAACACCCAGTTTTACAAGCTTTCTTGTGAAACTTAGTAAACCAAGGTGAGCCCAACCAGGCTCAACCAAATAACCTAGGTGGATCCATTAGTCAATAGGCGACATACTTGACCCACCCAGTTTTCCAAGTCCAACCTTTGGGACAACCAAATCAACTTGTCTATCAATTAATACAGGTGGGTCATATACCTCAAGCTTAGGCACACTAGCCCAAGTTAGGCAACCAGCCGTCTAGCCATGTAGTTCTAGTTCCAATGGCTCATTTAGCCAACATGGAGGCGACCAGGATGCACTTTCAAGACCGTTTATAGTGGATGGGGACTTGTGATTTCTCAACTCCTAAAGCGTTGTGCAAGAAACCCTTAGAAATTTTGAAAATCTAATGATGGGATTTGTTCTGCCACAATTCAAAAAAGTTCTTCTGAAAGGGTGACCCAATGGCACATGTCATCACTTAGGTACTTTCTATAGTGACCTTGGAAAATATACTTAATCACCTTAAGTTGATGCTTCAACATACCCTATCAGTAGGTCCTCTAATTTGGAATTGTGAATTTATAAAGGTTAACTCTCATGCAACTCTTGACAAGATGTTCCGAAGATTTGAATCCCACTATAGAGGAATCAAGCCTTGGTCCATCTCTCTAGGGGAGCCTACCAAAATGGGCAAAAGGATAATGAGTCATTCCCTGACTTTGTTGAGCATTTTTTGAAATACCACTTCTAGGGTTCTTGAATGTACTCTTACTAAGATTGAAATACTCTAGAACGTCAACCCCAAGTATTAATCCTTCTCGGCGAAAGCAATGTGCCCTTCTCGTTTGATTCCATGCTCGAGATGGCTGCACATTATGAGCAGGGAAAGGCCAAAGCCAGATCCATTGGACGGCCATTGCGAGCCAAACCCTCACATGAGAATAACAAGAATTAGGCCTTGTCTAGTGGAGAGGTAAATTTGATTGATTGATAAGCCAAGCAGTCTATCCAAGTCTAGGCCTTCAATAGAAGAGCCTCAAGAAGGAAGCAAATCTCATTCAACCAGAAGGTGGACACAAAGTAGCATGCCTGGGAAATTCACATTCATAGATGAGCCAATAAGTGATGCTCTTAAGAAATTACTTGAACATAAGCTCGTGGAATTGCATTTTAGCCTGGATTCCTCCCCTTCACTCAGAGATACGTCTAAGTGGAGTGGCATCAAAACCACGCCCATGACCAAGGAATGCCTTTAGTGAATGGGGAAGAGCATAGTATTACTAGTCATTAAAAGGTTCATCCGAACATGGCGTAAGAATGAATACTGCTTCAGTTTTATGCCATAACAGAAGCCCTACATTTCATTTCCATGCCCAATTACATTGAATTCAAGATCATGCTAGCTAACCACCTGATTCTCTGTTGATTCAGATTCGTTGGTCTTTGGGGATGGAAAATTCCACCTGTCGACAAGTGATTTTACTTTTTCAACCTGCAGGCCATCAAAGCGGGCGCCAATTAAGTATTCGTATTGTTCATTAGCACCATCCTCTGCATTATAACAAACTGGTGAGGCTCCAGCTTAGCACCTGAGGACTTTTTCTATGTTATGTACTGGTGTAGTTGTGGTGTTCTATGAGTTATTTCTATTCATTCCTCTTTTTCTAATTTAATGAAAGCTACCTCATATCAATAATGAAATGGTAAGGAAAAAAAAGTTTTGACATGTTATATTATAATCCAAATTAATGCACATTAGTGGTTAGAACATTTAAATCAATTCATTCCATTTCTCCTTGTTAAGTAATAAGCTTGATATATGAAACCTGCTGCCTAAGGGGCTAGTCGAAAGTATACTCTAAACCACTTGTTATAAATAACCAATCGACTTCCGAAAGTTTTAGTTGGGAGCATAAAATTAGCAAAACGTGTAAACAAGTATTTTGCAGACCACAGTACTTCAAGAATCTGTGTCATGAGGGTCATCTTTGTCCATCAATTGGGTGAACAGTGATGAGAAGGGAATGGTGCCATTAGAACATGACATGACTCGAACTCGAAATTGTGCATCCACTCTCACCATCACATTCCAGGCTGTTATTCGATGGTGATGACCCTCATAACCAATGGTGATGACCCTCATAACCAAGGATTCAAATGGTTTTGTAGATTACAATACGCTTTCGAAAAATACGATGGTTGGGGCCAAAATTTCTACAGGTAAACATAAATTCAATACTAATGAGGAGTGATAATCCCTTAAGGGTTCATAGGAAAACAAGGCTCAAGGTCTTTTCTCACCTGCTTATTCCAATCAGTCCTGTATGTCATGAAAGCCAAGACCAATGTTTGTGCTCCTGTGCCACACAAAATTCCAACCCAAAT